TGTTATACTGTACAACTATGCCCTTGTTGCACTTGCCGGGCACCCACGCAGGTCCACGCAATTGCCTCACGTGCTACCATATTTAGCCAAGTCGAATCTTGGTCATCAAGGTATCTCTGAGAGCATGGGCGCAGTTTCCAAGTGCCAGGCTCCAAGCATCACCCAGAATTCATAGCAGACTCTACGATGATAGTTATGAGACTCTAAAAGTCTCATTGTGTTGCAGGCATGCTTTTCTGATCAGAACTCTACTGAGCCTGAGAGTGCAGCCGCACTCTTGGCATGGCCGCGGTCCTCTTTGACTGGAGGTCGAGATTTTTAAAGTGATATGGACCGCAGCCGGACACTGTGTCATTTCTACATGCTCGGCGTAGGAACTCTTCGCTCATTTGTTAGAGGACTCACCAGACCTTTTGGCAACCCCTTTAAAGGAGGGGCGATGGTGGATCAGCCCCCAGGATGCTCGTGAATATTTGTTCGCCTTCCTTAGAGCCTTAGATTCCTTGACCCTAAACCGATCTCAGATGTCATGAGCCCGACAAGCATCTGCAACCCCCTCGGCGGACCGAAGCCCGGTCTCACGACCATGTGCGACCCGTAGAAGGCTGCACAGGATCAGACCCCCCGCTCGTCTGGCAGATCGGTATAGAGAAGGACAGCTGCGGATCATGGATTGTCGGGTTGCCAGCTACTTCTCGCATTGGAGAGATTTACAGGCTTTAGGTGGTTACCATGTCCAGAGGTACGTCCTTGATTGCCGGCTCTCAGGGTTCATGCACCTTTCTTTATCCGTGCACTCGAGCAGAGCATCATCTCTGGTACGGAGCAGATGTTGAGTACTGTACCTTTTGCGCCTGGTCCATGATATAGGGATATGTCTCAATCCTGTTTCATTTGGCTGATAGGCGGGTACTTCTGTAGGCACCGTTTTACCTGTCAATGGTGCATTGCTTGTTGCTTCACTTCTCTCTCTCTCTCTCTATCTCTCTCTCTATCTCTCTCTCTCGCTCTCTTTGTTCTCTCGTTGTACCGTTCTCTCTCTAGGGTGCAAGTACATATCATGGGCTTGTATGGCTCATGGGTCAAGGCATGTCAGGGCTGTGTGGACTTGGGCTTTAAATAACGAGACGCTCTCAATGCAGGAAAAACTCTTCAGAAAGAGCCCGCAAGCAGACAATGACATCTACAAGTACATAAACTTGCAAGGTCGAGCAACCCACGCGGAATCATGGCAACATGGCGCCAGGTTGGAAGATAGTGAAGTCCATTGTAGCCCAAAACGCAAGACGCCTTCAGTTTCGTAGTATCTTACAACGGAAGTCCGACCCCAGCCCCTCACATTGACGTTGGCATGACCAACAGGCGATTTTCAGTCTTCTTCGCGCAGGAAGTTTTGATGAGGCTTGGTGCCGATAGGAAGTTTGAGGATGTGGTATGTCCTCCGGGATTCAAGGCCCAAGCCACCCTGGGGTAGGCTTTGCAAACTGAAGCCAAGACAGTCGATTCCTCGATCCAGAACCTAAAGCCGAAGCGCTCAAAGTTTGCTCCAAATGCATACTTGAGGGAGTGCTCCCGAAACCCTAAACCCCTGAACCCTAAAAGCTAAACCCTGGAAGGCTGTAGAGACTTCCCCACAACATCAGCGACTCACACTGATAACGCATCACACATGACCACGCCGCTACTGCTGTGCATCTAAGCTCTGCGCCCTGTAGATGTATTTCGGCACAATGGCTATGAGATATCGATGCTCCGGATCAGTTCTGCACAGGTGTTTTTTCCCACAGCTGCGACAATTCGAGAGCTTTGCGCAGTTTGGCCTCGACACGAAAACCCATTTTCGGACTGCCGACTATGTCTTGGCAGTGTATTGGCATCGTTCCTACCGTTTTATGATATTGTTGAGCTACAGTTGCAGTATAAATGGGCTAAGATGATGCATGCAGCGTGAGGCGATCACAACGCTGCGAGCGTCGCCGGAGTTGTGGACGCAAAGAGAAGCGGAGGTGCGGCAGCCAATTTGCATTTGGATGTCTGAGAGTAGCACTCCGAAAGGCACATACTTTGGTGTCCTCGCGTCACTGAAGTGGGTAAGAGAAGGTGCGTCATGCTGCCCAAGAGATGTCTATGTCTGTGTCGCTCTCGCCCATGCCACGAGACATGGCCGATCTGTACATGTGGAGCTCTGCCACTGCGTGTAGTAGCTATGATGGTTTGCCACTGCGCCCCGTCGCAAATGTTGACTGCAGGGAGGGCACAGCGTTCTGCACTGGGCAGCGTTGCTCCAACCTTAGATGTCACTGATGTGTTTCTATATCCGCTCTAAACAATATATGCAATCGTATTCTGCACTAAAATGCACTGTACACACTTTGTCATGTTTGGATTTCTAGCTTGCCAATGTTCATAGCACGTTATTGTCTGGAGACAAATCAGGAAGATGCAACGGAACAGTGGGATATTGTCAAACCTTAATGCTGAAAAACCCGAATCACAAGTCCCAAAAGCCTTGAAGCCCAAAGCCCTGAACCCTAAAACCCTTCCTAAACCCAAATGATAAAACCCTAAGCCCTTTCAATCCGGTAAGCTTGGGGCTCTCCCCGATCGCTGGCCTTCTCC